TCGTCATGTTGTTACTAATAACATTCACGGTGGCTCAGTTCTGTGTCACAGTAAGTTGTGCCAGTGAGCCAGTAATGGACAACTCTGACACTGAAGCAGCTAAATGGAATTCAGCCATCATTGATTTTTTTATTTACACTGGTGCTTTTCCCACTGGTTTAAGTACCTGTGTAACAATGTATAAATACTTTATTAGAAGTACAATTTGTTATGCTGAATTCTACTTAAGTAAAAGTTTAGAGTTATTATCAGTGAAATGGACTTAGTATCACTAAGTATCAAAAGTAAACTAGTAAAGAACCCTGTGACAGATGCATTACTATATATGACATTATTAGATTGGTAATACTGGGGCATTTTACTGTTGTAACAAGTTGAGGTGGAGCTATTTTTTTATATAAATAAATCTAGGTGGCTGTGGGGTGATTAATGGTAGGAAGAAAAATTAAATTCTCTTTATAAATTTGATACATTTTTCTCAAATTTTTGCCTTTTTACGAAATATTGGATAATTTTACCTCTGTGCACCTTGAACAGTTATTTAAACAAAATCACCCAAGTTTAAAAGGGAAATGTTGCTGACAACTCATCTTAAACTATCAGCCAAATAGATACTGCTTTTTTTAAATGTAAAATCTAAATATGAACCCCCTGAGATGTAGTGGAGTAGAGAAAAAAAAGAAAGCTGGCTAAAATGGAAATATTAAAGTACAAACACCTCATAATTGTACTGAAGCACAGCACTTGAGTGGTTACTTTCTACCACTGGCTGTTCCTGCTGTGATCCTTCTTCCCTTCTGTGTCCTGAAAACAATCTTATGAAACATCCACCCGCTGTTGCCTTGGTTTTTTTTTAGCTCTACATACATGCAGGTAGAGTTAATATAAAAACTTTATGTAGATTTTATCATATTAGCATCCCCATAGCAACTGTTGTGTAATCACATTGCAGTTTGAACCTTGATTTAATTAGCATACATAATCAGTTCATTTTTTGGAATGAACGTCTGTTCCTCGTTTCTCTGATAGTAAATGTGGGTCTTATCCTATACCCAAATAGTCAACAGTGATTGATTGTGTGAGCCAGCTGAAGAACCATGAGCTAAGAGGATTTTGACAGGCCCCATATATTAAGCCCAGAGAGGCTTTTCAGTCCATGCTGTCATTATTACAGGTACAAGCCTCAGTCATATTGATCTTGTATAATCAATCATTCCAATGCACAATTGTGCTTTCATCTTCCCAGTGAAGTGTATTCTCACATTATTCTGTAGTACTGTGTATGCTGCTTCTTTCTTTAATGTGACAGTGGGGACACATTGACACTATTCATAATTTAGGTCAGCTCTTGAACAGGGGGTCATGTGCCACAATTTGAATATGCCGTGCGCCTGTCATGTGTTAACATGCACTTTAAGGGCTTTTGCCACTTGATGAATATTAAACCTCCCACACGTGTGTTTGAGCCACTTAAGTCCCCACTATACTTTTGATGAATAGCGTCAACAAATCATATTTGCCAAGGGAATATAACAGGAAAGAACGAAGTGAGGCGAATAGATAGCGCTCTATGTAACTCTGCATCGCTACAGATGAATATCTAAGTTAAGACTATTGTTCTGCACTCACAGTGCACGTAATAAGGGCTATTATAGGGCTTGTAGGCAGACCTGTAGGGGGAGGAAAATGAGCTTATTCTTGTATTGAGAATCTCTTTGTAGCTATAAGTACCCAGCAATTCAACTTGCATTACGCAAGTGTCATTACATCCCACTTGAGTCCCCTTCCTGACAAGTGGAGATAATAATGATGAAGATGAACACAAATAAGATTAAGGTAAAAGATAGTAACTGGCAGGTGCGGGATAATATGGGGGATGTGTATGTTCCTATTTTGCGAATCTGATTCTCTAATTGCCACCATCTGCTGTCTGAGTAAAACACCGAAGAGGAAAACAGGGAGTGAAGCGTTTGCGTTCTGACTTGGCAATTAAAGATAAATAAGAACCGTAACAGGAGACGGGCATTTTGTTTCTTTCCAAAGTAACACCAGTTGCAGAATGGTTGGCCTGTGATTAACCTTCATCCCAAGGGCTGTATCCTACTATTTGTACTTCTTTTTTAGGCTTGCAGGGTATGAGGATAATGCCTACACCATAAAAAGAATCCAACAATCTTTATAAAAGCCTGATTGGAATTTTTGGTTTATCTGAACATTTTGGGTATGTGTATTTTCTAGGTTTTTTTCTTTTCAGCAAATGTGCTTTCTTGTTCTTCAGTTCCTTTTCCTGTAGTTTTCCAGTTTTTGTTTGTCTTTGTTGAAAGCCCAGCGATTGACCTTTAACCCAGTCACATATGGGGGTCAAGGGATGATTATTGTAGCTGGTTGGAAAAGCTACATTTGGAAGGGAGCTTTGACCCTTTGTTGTGTTCAGAGTTGTAGAGGCTGGAAGCCATGGTCAGCAGTACCTTTCATGACCTGATAGCTCATCATTATTCAAAGTGCTTAATGCTTCGAAATCATATATTTCTCTTGTTGCCAAAACACCAGTCCTATTTTCAGTTTCTCAAATCCCCAGAACCAGAGTGTTGTGTGACAGTGAATGGAGCTGTGGAGGAAAGTTTGGGCGAAGGTGTAATTAAAGCTGATTATGGTGAGACAGAGGCGAGGGTAGGGCAGCACATTTGTCTTCCCCACCTAATGAGTGGAGGCTGGGAGAGCTGAATTAGCTGCCTCGCTGTCGTCTCTCCCCTGCCATACCACTTTGTCACAAGGACACTCCTCCTGCAAGATGAGACAGGGTCAAGTGCATGTGTATCCCCTGGCATTATTCTTACAGGCTGGTGGGGCCCTTGTTCCACTGGGCACTGGGAATTGAGGCACTTTAGCAAGCTCTGAGCCACACCACTCAGCCTCTGCATCATTAAACCAGGCTAAAAATACACAGCCCACCCATGGTCCCCTGTTCGCGGAGGACCAGTTCATTGCCACGCTGAAACAACCGCTGACTCCTGTTCGTGAGAGGTGTGACACCATCATTTTTCACTCCCTCTTTAAATCTGATCAGTGTTATGAGGCTATGGCAATACAGTAAGGGTATGCTCAAACAAGCTGTTATTAAGTGGCCTTGTCTTTCGCCCACAAATTCATGTGATCATTATTGATGCCACCACTACCGTACAAATTCACACTGTTGTGTTCACACTGTTATTAATGCTCATCCCATGGGCATTAATGGACTTAGAAATCAATATGTGTTGGTGTAATGCTGGAGTGACATCTGCTACAAGGCATCCGCTCAGTACAGATGAGAAAGCCCATATACTGTGAAACAACACATTTATAGCTGCAACATATTATTTTTATCATCAATTAATAACACAATTATTTTTCATTCCATTAAATGTCAGAAAATAGTGAAAAATGCTCATCACGGTTTCCAAGAGTCCAAAGTGACACCTTCAAATTGCTTTTTTTTGCATTAAATGTCAGAAAATAGTGAAAAATGCTCATCACGGTTTCCAAGAGCCCAAAGTGACACCTTCAAATTGCTTTTTTTTGCTTTTTTTGTCTGACCCCCAGCCCAAAACCTGATTCATCTGTTGTCAGTTTTATTTTTTATCTACTAACTGGTTAATCTAATTACAGTTAATATGCAAGTGTGTTACCCAGGTGTATGAATCACTAAATATAAATGTTATCCACTGTATATAGACAGGTGACTGACACTCCAGTCCTAGTGGTTTGCTGAGTGCTGGCCTTTTAAAGAACAACACTGAACAACCTGCCTGAAGTGACCTCCCTAAAGCGAGCTCTGAATGCATTCATTCCTGGTAAATGATGCATTCTATGGATTTTGAGTAACTGCACCCTTACATAATCATGTTACTCTGTGAAGGGCAACACAATACCAATACAATATATCATGCAGCAGGCATGAATCAGCTGCATACTTACTTTATGGCTCAAATGGAAAGCACTGTCAAATCAATCACTGTATCTAGCAAGAATCCCATTCAGGCTGTTTTACATAGGCTACTATATAGTTACAGTGCAACCCCATGGGCCACAGGTGGAAGTAATTACACTGATTAATTAGACAGTCTGATTGTGGGGGTTTGACACAGAACCGGCTGTCCAAGGTAAATATGTTCTTCAAATGTTGAATGGATATACTTAAAAATATGCTATGCTTATTTCTTCTTATTATTTTTAGCTGCAGTACTCTAAGGTCAGACTGTTCTGTCAGTGTTTGTTGGATGGGGGTGAGGTGGTGGCCCCGGGTGGCCCTGAGGCAAAAGCTTATAGTCGCTTTCATGAGCGCAGTGATAATGGGACACCTGAGCTGGCGCATGTAGCCTACAGAGGGAGAGCGTTTCTGTCCAGTGTATACGTTAATAAATAATTATTGTGATAATATTACAGTGAACTGAAACAGTGAATCGTTATATGAAGATGCTTTATGCTCACTTGTTGCCTTGCGCGAAATAAATAAGGATTCACCCGTGTGGCGCAGTTTGGCTGGTTCCACGGCTTTCTAGCTGTCTGCATTTTAAAAAAAAATTAGTTTAATTAATTATGCTAATAAATGCATCTTTTTTATCACAGTGTCTGAACAGCTTATCCGACACAGCTCAGGCTCACTAACTAATAACCAACCACTACCGCGAACAATGTATTTCTATCCGCGGCTATCATTATCATTACATACACAAACTTATCACTTCGTACTTATACACTAACTTGTGTTCACAATGATTTTTTTCGCCATAAAATTGTTTGTCAAACGGAAAAAAGGCGTTTGAAATGATTCCCGAGACAAACCGGTGTGTGAACTGGCTTTATCTGGCTCGGTTTCCGCCGTGTTCCCGGTTGTACCGTCTCTTTACTGTAACTCGGAGCCTACCAAACTGTCCAGAGACAGCACTATTTGCGCTGAGGAGGAAGCGTGCAGCCTGTAAAGCGGCACTGCGGCATCGCTGTATCACTGCGCCCCGGTCCCCCTTCTCCGGGATCCTGAAGCTCGGATCTGGGGAGAGAGGAGGAGGAGATACCCTGTGGTTTTCCTTTGCGGGATTTATTTTGTCAGCTCCAAAACCTTCTTGTGCTTTATCTTTTTATAGTGACCGAAGGCCTGCAACTTGTCCGGACGGTCCCTCCCCACTCGCAAGGGTTTGCATTTCTTCGTTTTGCATGACGTGTCTTGGAGCAAAAAAAAAAAAAAAAAAGAGGGAGAGAGAGAGAGAGAGAGAGGGAGAGAGAGAGAGGCTCGCTTTTGTTGTGTGTCTTACAGTGGAAAATGAAGCTTGGAGAGCCGGAGCAGGAGGCAGTGCCAGTCCGCTGCTGCTGTTGTGGGCTGGACTGGATTACAGAGCCTGAGATCTCTACTGACAGCACAGGCAGACAAAAAGGGACTGTGAGCGAAGACAAGGGAAAGAGTCTTTTACTGAGCTGGAAAAGCCAGGGCGAGTGCTAGAATACAGTTTTTTCCCCTCAATAAGCGGTATTTTGGAGCTGTGTGTGCAGTGTGTGTCATTAGATAAGTGCTGGCACGGGGCATCAGGTTAAAGGCATAGGTACTGGGGAAAAAAAGGTTATTATAGTAAAGGCTGATTTTCCCTTTTTGGGTTGTTAGAAGGCAGAACATCTGCATGGAAGGAGTATTTCTGAAATGTTGCTGCATACTTAAATGTTGGCATGCTGGCTTGTTGGATGTGCCTTTGTTATGTATCCATCTTTTTTTTGTTGCAAATGCTTCTATTTGTGCTTGCTTAAAACATTTGTGAGTTTGCAATGTGTAGCAGAGCATTGGCATGTATGCTGCAGAATCCGGATGAGCTACAATACATGACAACCTGTGTCCAAGGAGACAATGTAAAGTTGAAGATGGTGGTGGGCTGTGACAGACAGGTTTTGGTTTGTGTGCTGATGCAGGGAAGGTGTGATTCCTCTGTGTCCACCAGCATTTGGAGGCATGATTAGAGGAAGGCTCTGTGAGAGCCTGCAGTTTGTTGGTTCAGTTTTCTTCCACATAAAATACCATTTCTATGATGTAATGGATGAGAATTGATATTCTGGACACATAGAGAAGCCATATGTGTGTTAGACTACAATGCCAGAGTGACTTTCGGTGGCTTTAGGCCTAGACTGTAGGCTATGCCTTGAGAATGATGCAAGCTGTTGAATGTTGCATCCTAATATCATAAAGCAGCCAGATGCCTTCAGTGTCAGACAGTGAAGGTATGCCCTGCTAAGCTCTACAGTTAAGTACAGCATGGCTTTTCAAAGGGTCTTGATAATTCTTTAACACTGTGTGTAAGACCTCAAGGACATCTCCCTGTTCAATTAGACCTGTTTTCATGTATGAAAGAAAGAGAAATAGTGCTGTTTTTGATGTGTAGAATATTTGAGTGCGTTGTTATGTCCAAGGTGATGTTTTGAAAGTAATGAATGGTGAATTGAGGCAGGTTGTCATGTTGAACATGTTAATTTAGACTGATTTTTGATGAATTTCAGAATTGCTTTATTCAAGACTTACTTTTTTTAGTTGATAGATGACCTACTATATGTGTGCAGCTCAGAAGTCAAGATGGTTCACCACGCATAATCATGGCATCTTCATTTCTAATGTCATTATTCACTACTGAAATGTACTGTGCCGTTGTAGGCGTTTGTTGTATAGATTAATGCGATTAGCAGACAAGTACAAAGTGAAAGGATAGATTGTACTAGCAGTTGATAGTTCTTAATACAACATTTGAGTTAATTAACACTTTATTTCAGGCTCAAGAGCAGTCAGTGTAGCCCCACAGTGTACTGGCGTTTGTACAGATATACACAATATCTGTATGTCACTTAAAATTAGCAGGTACTGTGCCAAAAGCAATGAGTTCATGTTGAGAGACACAGAGTAGTCAAAGTGAAAATCTTTGTAGATAATTGAGAAATGTAATCATTAAAAAGACAGTTTAGGTTACAAGCTTGGCAAAAGCATCAGAGACACTAGTAAAAGAGCACTTACAACACATAATCATCTCATCTCTGGGCTTAATGACCTGGCAGTGTAAGAAAACACAGTATGCTTAGGAGATGAGACTGTAACCACCCTAATAAAACATTCATCTTGCATTATGTATAATGGCAGTAACCTCCTGTATAGTATACAGCACCTTTTGGAAAATGGCTCATTGACTAAATGCACAGCTGAACTTGCTGAGTGAACATGTTGCAAATGTGTGCTCTTCTCTCTCTCTTTCTCTCTCTCTGTCTTAATCTTGCAGGAGGCAGAGTTTGCTGACCTTGGGTAAGAGGAGTAGGTTCCTGGAGAAGAAAGATGTGGCATCACCTGCTCAACTCACCATGGCGGGACATGTTCACTGAGCAGATATTTGCTTTAACTTGAAAAGCTCTTCCTCTGGCGGAATTGACAGCTTGGTGATAACGTGTTTAATAGATCATTTTACACCTCTGTCGTAGGATTTGATGGACTGCCTTTGGGGATCTTCGCTTGGAACCTTGCTTGGTTCAGTGACACGATGCAGTTTTGAGTTCCTGTAAAAGGCTTCATCTGTTGGATATTACATGGTTACCTTGGATCTAATACATTGATAACATTCGCTTGGATATTGTGGAGATTCTCCTCTGGGGTTTTCACACGAGTGGAGGTCGAGCAGTGCCAGTGTTTGGCCCTTGAAGAGTTTGACTCTCTGTAAGAGGAGGGTTTATCTGGATGTTTCCCATGAAGGACATGGATGGCCCTCGATCTAGTGGCCTCCGCAAGAAGAGGAAGTCGAGGTCAGCGAGGGATCGGGAGAGGAGATCAAATGGGATAAGGAACAACCATGTTAAGAGCTCCGTCTTTCGCTTCTCCTCCGACTCAGAGAGGGAGGGTGGCAGGGATCCCTCCTCATCCCGCCCTCGTCCCCCACGAAGAAAGCGAAAGGAGTCTAGTTCTGCTGAAGAGGACATCATCGATGGCTTCTCCATCACGGGGTTCGTGACCCTGGAGGCTCTGGAGGTGAGTGCTGAACCAGAGGGGTAGCCCCTTCAACTCTCTCCAGCCTTGTGTGTGTGTGTTGAGCTTTTGTATGAAAATCCAGTTGAAAATCTCTTAACATCGTATAAAAATGTGTTTATTATTGTGTGCCTCCCTGACGGGGCCAGCCCAGCGTTTTGGCTGTTGTGTGAGCTGGAGTTGAACAGATGTAGCTTTAGATGTAGTGCTGCAGCCAGAGATTACTATCTGTGTCACCGAGAGGCTCTTGTTGTTGTGTGTACTGCTCTGGATTTGTTTTCACAAGGGTTTTCCAGCAAAGCCTTACACCAGATGAGGGATGTGCTGTTATGGGTGTAGTGGCTGTTGTTCCTTTGTACACTTTGGAGTGAAAAAGCAATTTGATCCATGTTACAGCAGTTTATTCAAAGTGGGAGTAATTTATTGTGCACTGGCTATCCATTTTCCTTGGAATGCAAACCGGGCACAGGCTGCCTTCCAACAATATAGTTCTGAATTATGACTTACACAAGCAAGCATTTTATATATACCGCACAACTGCTACATTTTTCTCTAATGGTGACTTACAGATGTGCGACATATTGAAGGACACCTGTTTTAGTTAGCTTCAGCTTCAGTGGTCCTTGGCATAGATTCTGCAATTTTTTGGATCCATTCCTCCCTCATTTGGTGTTTCGATGATGGTGAGAGCCGTCTAGCATACGTACAAAATCTCCCACAGGTGTTCATTTAGTGACTGCGAAGGCCATAACATATGATTTCCATAATTGTCCTACTCTTTCCTTACTCTTTCCTTCTAATCAAGCCATTCAAGCACTTGCATTTGTGTTTCTCCACTCATCTGTTCAGGTGTTTGCTAGGCTGGGCAATATAGCTGAAAATTGTTTCAGGTAATAATTAGAATTTTAATGTTTTGTCCGTATTGTTGCTGAGTTGTGGACTGCCTGTGGATTGTTTCTTTAGATGTAACAAATTACATGTTGCATACTCCAAAGGTTGGAAGAGGCAATTGCAATTCACTCACAGCACGCTGTATTCTCAATGGATATGCTCTGTATGAGCTTGGTTTGCATTTAATGCATTTAGCTGAAACAACTGACCAATTTTTGTATTGTATTAATGAAGAGTCTATTGATGATACAAATTGCTATTTCCCAGATCTAGGTGTTTTTTATTAGGTTTTGTTATCTTCACAGGAAACATTGCATGTCCACAACTGTTAATCATCAGATACTTCAGCAAACATTTTATAGATTTTTAGGATTCTGTTTTCTGCAGGATGTGAAAATAGTTTGTATCTTCACAAGATCAGACTTTTTTTGGGGGCGGGGGGTTCCTGGGATAACACAGCCTGACTTGCACTTTCTAATATATGCAGTGTGATACCGATCTCTTGTTCGCCGGTGTGACCCATCTCAAGGATATGAACAGTAGCACCTGTCCTCACTGTATCTGTTTGTTATTCAGATCAACACTTTTGCTGAAGAGTGTCTTACTGTCATGTTTTACATTACTGTATTCAACAGCCATGGACTCATTCTCCTTGTTCTGTTTGACCTTCTTTCTGTTGTTCTTTCCATTGATGTTTTCTGTGTCAGTCGAATGAAACGCTGCTATTCACAGTTGGAGTGTCTAGTTAGATGACAACTCAGAAATCACTGTGTGAAAGTTTAAAGTGAGTGGCTCTTGAGTTTGCAAGGTCAATGTATTTAAAATAAATAGGCTAAAAATATACCTTGAATTTGAATCAGCTATATGTTCATTCTTTGCCTCCCCACTGACCGTCAGTTTGTTCATCTTAATCTCCACAATTTACATCAGATAGACCGCTAATGAGAGCTGAACATAAAAGCAATAAGAGGTCAGCTGGACTTGGCTCACATAGGTCTGCCACTCTTTTTATATGAATCTAATATTACATAATATGAAAGTAAGCCCCATTCCCTGTCAGCATATGTACGACTAGCAGTAAGATATTCTTGTCAATATGTCAGGGCTTTTAATCAAAACATCCAGAATATGATGTTCTATTTATAAATATGTATTACATTTAAATGAAAGCGTAAATTATGCTATTGACAATTGATTGTAAGTCAGATTAACAGTTTTATGTGCATTAGTAGAAATAATTTTTACATTTTATTACCCTACACAACATTGTTTCACCCTTTTACTGCAGTCAACTGAATGAAAAACTGACTAATAAATCAAAATATATTGCAGTATCAAATTGCATTAAAATCAAATCACAGTGATTTAGAAGGCACTTTTTACAAAACACTCCTGTCACAATGTGGTTCAATGATGGCAAACATGCACCGAGCTCAAGTAAGAGCAAGAGAAAAACAAATGATACTTGCGTTCGTGTGTGAGTCCAAATGCGCACACACAGGAGTGTTTTTGTGAGATTGTGACAGATCTCATTAATGCAGTATCATCTCACAGGAAAGTGAAGGGAGATGCCAATACTGTATTACATTACTTCTTACAGTTGTTTGAGAGCTTTAAATATAGCAGTTGGTTTCAATGTGTCCCAAATGTAATGACAGCCTTAATAACAGAAGCTGTGTGGTGATTCGTGTTTCACATCCCTCAAACTAGGATCTGGACTAGGACTAAGTCCACAAAGCTCCCTCCGCCATGTTGATAACCGGCTGTAGTGCAGTACCCCTCATGCTGTGTCAAGCTTGTTTTAGACTTTTCGTATGCTTCATTAGTCTGCCAATTATATCCTTAATTGATTAATTGTTTGGTCCATAAAATGTCAGGAAATAGAGGAAAAATGCCTGTCACAAGTCCCCAAAGTGCTAGGTGACATCTTCAAATGTCTTGTATTACACAAGGAACAACCCAAAGCCCAAAGATATTTACTTTACAATTATATCAAACAGAGAACAGCAGTGGAGAAGCTGGAGTCACAAAACGTTTGGCATTTTTGCTGAAAAATGACCTAATCGATGAATCGACCAGTAGTTTCAGCTCTAAACAGAGCAGCATAGATCCACTGTTAATGAAGTTTAAAACTGGCTTCTCTTCTGTTTTCAGAGAAAGAGGTGACAGTGCCAGGAAATAATAAATGGTAATAATGGATAACAACAATAATATCAAACAGCGCCACCTGTAAGATCCTAAGAAAACGTTTGGCATTTTTGTGACTAAAAGTTCATTGATTCTAATGTCTGGGTCAGTTGTGGAGATGTAGGCCTGGACTAAGAATGAGGTCCCACCCCAGTTACTGCCTCTGAAGTGCCCCTGAGTGAGCCACTTGACCCCCCACTAACTTTCATTATAGCCAACGATAGAAAACCTATTTTACTTGGCAGCCCTCTATGGTGACTGTGTTAACATTATGACTGAGGGTGAATCAGGAACTTACTGATGCAGATACAAGTTAAATAAAGGTAAAATCCTCCCAGAAGAAATCTTTGAAAACTTGTCAAATTACATCCATCCTGTTGGATTTTTTTAGGGTAGTTGGTTAGATTGTTTTTCTCTTTAATCTTCAATTATGGATCAGACTTATCAGAGCTTTTCTTGCATTTCACAGTCTCCATAGCTGAAATAATTCGATTTCTGTTTATTTAATATTTTTTAGTATCATTTTATGACAATTATGCTTGAGTTTCCTCCCTTATGTAATATTTAGGTAATATGGGGTTGTCTTTTCCTTGTGCTGCGCTGTTTTACAATCCTTTCTTTGCAGTTGTAAGCTTTGTTTACTTCTGTGTTTGTACCACACAATGTTAAAAGACTTTATAGTGTATATATGGAACTATGCACAAGCATTTCACAGCAGCAGCAGCTCTTTTTCTGTCTGGGTAAAGTTAAATTCTGATGAGGTCAGACCCCTGGAGGTATATGCTAGTGCTCTCCATCTGTCACCACAGTGCTGGAGCAACACTGCTCCCAGGCCTGCTTTTCATGTGCCTGCTGATATCTTAGCTTTGCATTTCTCTTTTGCAGTCTCTGGGCTGAAGCATCTATGATAAGGCTCTTGACATACCCAAGTAGCTTTTGCTAGAGGTTCTACAACATATTGTTGTCTTGATTACTTGGCTGTTTGTTGGTGTTGCAGTTTGGAGTGAACTTGGCAATGTTGGAATTTTGTTGCTGTTGGAATAAAACTTTACCATCAGCAAGCCAGTGAGAAAGCATATTACTACTTGGTGTTTCTTGTTTGCTCTCCCTCTAATCAGCATCAGACGGTCTTCTTCTATAGCCAAGTCTTAAGTGATTTGCTTCCCACTTATGCAGGATACAGGATGTGCTTCTACAATACGCACTGTGCAAGTTAATGATTATGTAGTTTCAAAAAACCTTTTGTAAAGTCCACCATCATGGCTTCAATTTCTAGGATCATGACTACCTGTATATCTCTAACTGCTGAAAACATTAGAACTCAATAAGGCTATTCACAAACTGTGAAAATGTGAGCACAAAGCAATGCTACAGAATAAATGCTTAGCACCACTGAATAAATGGACTATATTCTTAATGAGCATAAGGCTGGTCTTTTCTTCTAGTCAGACAAGTCGAGGTATAGCTCTAAGCTATACTATACTATTCTTTTATTGAGAAGAGAAACACCGGTTTCATATAGGAAATATAGGGTGGCAGATGCAATGTATTGATACAAAGTAGATATTTATTTATTATAAGCGTATAAGTGTAATAATGTAGTGCTAAGGCACTACAAAAGTATGCTACAATAACCAAATGTTTTTTATGTCTCACATTTGGAGCTCAGTTTGCTCATTTTCCCAAACCTAAACTCTCTCACTTTAAATTGAGCAAGAAATTACAAAGACATATTGAGGAGTGTTCATTCATTGCAAAAGTACACAGCAGCAGTCTTTTTGAAGAAGCTGGTTTGGAGACAGATTTTTATTGAGAGGGGCTCAAGTACCAACGTATTACAGCACTTGAAGAAATTTTATTTCAGTTATTGAGTGCCTTCTCCTCTGAAACCTTTGTTATGTTTTCACCCATTTGTCTTAAAGGGT